AGGATAGAAATAATGTGTGCGTAAAAAAGCGACAAGTTAAGATTTAATTATACAAAGAAGAAAGAAGATGACTCTTGATTATACTTGATAACTTTAATCAAAGATTTCGATTTGAAGATAGTTGCTTGTTGAAAGTGATTATCTCGTTTTTAGAATTACTTTTTCAATCAAAAAACAAAAAGAATAAAACATTTTAAAACTTTTTTTGTCTAAGCTAAGTGAATATAATCAATTAGACGAATGTTTTTTTTTTAATTATTATTTTCACATGAAGAACTATTAAATAGAAATTTTTGTATTCTATTATTTCCAGTATCTGCAACAAATAAATTCCAATTTTTATCAAATTTAATTCCTCTTGGCGAAGAAAGTTGATTCGGTTCATTACCAAGATGACCAGTAATTCCAACAGCAATAGCTTCAGGTTCTTGTGAATATGGTATCCATTTTAAAATCCGATAATGATCAAAATCTAATATATACATCATCATTTTATCTTCTGTTGGTGCTAATAAAATTGAAACTGGAGTACGTAACTGATTTATGTTTGAAGCTACAGTTATTCCTTCATGAGCACCATCAATCCATTTTTGAATTCGGTGATTTTCCTGATCACAAATATAGATGGCACCAATTTCATTGATTTCATCAACATAGATACCATAAGGGCCATTTAATTGATTTAATCCAGCTCCCGCTCCATGTCCACCAGCTACAACAATACCGGAACTTGAATTTATAAAGTATTTCACAACTCGATGATTACCAGTATCTGATATATAAAGTGTTAAATTTTTATCAACATAGAGTCCTGGTTGACCATCAAAGCGAAGCTCATTCAATTCGCTTCCGGCAACTGTTGTTATCGATTGGTCATCTGAACTCAATTTCTTAACTTCATCACCAAATACATCTGTTACATAAATATTATCGAACTTGTCAATACATACGCTGGATACTTTAGTGTTTGTTAATAATGTAATATTTGTTCCGTTAGTAAAATACTTTAATAAATGATGATTTTCAGTATCAGCTACGATTAGATTATTTTCGTTATCAATAGCAATATCGTATGGATCATATAGCTTCGAAACAACTGTTATTCCAGTTGATTCCCATTCAGCAGAAGCACACAGTATTTTAGGAATCGCGGTTGAAGTCAAAGTCATTGTTGAAGTTGTTGTTGAAATTGAAGTTGAAGTTGAAGTCAAAGTCGAAATCGAAGTTGATGTTGAAGTTGAGGTGACCGTTGAAGTTGAGGTGACCGTTGAAGTTGAAGTTACCATTGAAGTTGAGGTGACCGTTGAAGTTGAAGTTACCATTGAAGTTGAGGTGATCGTTGAAGTGAAGATGGATGTTATCGCTGTTTGTTAGAAACAGAGAAAAAATCCAATTTTCATTTTTATTTGTTTATTTTAAAATTTTCTGGATACAAGAGAACTGACCTATTGGAAATTGTTTTGCTTTACATCTATTATAATAAATAGCCAATGTGATTGTACTAATAGCCAATATAATAATCAAGAGAATGATCAAAAACCATTTTATTTTACGGTTTGTTAACGATGAACAATGGTATTCTCTCGGTAATTCAATATGTATTCTGTTTTGTGTGTTGTGTCTAATCGAAGTTTGACGACATGTTTCAGTAGTTGCTGGGTTGACTGACCGACGTGCAAGAGGATTTTGAAAGCTAAGTGTTCTTTCATTATGAGAATGTCTATTTTTAGAAGATGTTTGTTGAGACATTGCAAAATCGATTTCGTTCTCTGCTATTTCAAATTGTTGAATATTATTAGGATTTGATGGACATCGTAGCTAAATAGAAAGTGAATAGTTTTTAGGTAGTCTATAGAGAACTTTTTTAGCCCATGAATGTCTACTTGATTCAGCATTCTCTGACAACTCATAAAAAGACTCTAAGTTTACCTTGTGTTCTTTAACACTATTAAGTTGTTGTGTTAGTCCACAGTAAAGACAGAGAACATCTAAATTCTCCAAATTTCGACGATTTTTATCTAAGAAGACAAAAATTTCCCATATCATAGTTAACAATGGCGTATCATTATGATTACTAACCATTATCGTCATTAATATTTGCATTTTGTTGCTTGAAAGCGTCTACTGCATCTTTGACTGCACAATTTGGTGTTAATCGATTTATATTTAGAGGCTTTTTTGTAATTGGACTGGTACCGCATTGAATGGTCCATTGAGTTATTGCTTCTCTTTCATACGTATTTCCATCTTCAGCTGTAACTGGATCATTATATAATTCTAATGTTATTGGACATATTAAGTATTGTTGTGTGTTTATAGAAGACATTTTTCAACTTTTTTTTTTAATTTCTAAAGAATAATGATTTAATAAGAAGTGATGAAAAGATCTGGATCTTATCTTTTACATGTTTCATAGGTTGTTTTTTGTCTTGTTTGTCATTGTTGATATTTAATATCTACGTAGAAAGGTGAAGAATTAATTTCTATGTCAATTGATAAAGACAATTCTTGGTGTTTATTCATCTCAGCCAAAAGCGAAAATTTAAAACATGCGTTTACCTGTAAAATATTTTTCAATTCGTTTTGTTTCATGCATGCGTATACAGGTTATCTGAAATATTTGTAATATTTGTGTATAAATGCAGGACAGCAATATATGCATAGAAGTGCGTGTCGTAAACATATGAATGTAAATACAGTGACCAAAATATCACTTGTGTGTACGTGTAAGATGACTAGACCTTCTCCAAAGCTTGTATGTCAATACAAAAAGATTGTACTTATGAAAATTAATACTAAAGCAATGCTGTATTGACATGCAAAGTTTTACTATAGTCCTATCAACTAAAAGTAGAACTTGAATTTTGATTATTTTTTCAAAATTTTTCTAAATGTAATTATCCACTCTTATTTAAAAGATATTGTATCTATACATGATTGGTGTGTGGTTGTGTAGTATAACTTGTCTACAGTTTATACTATTGATATCGTTTCATATCCAATGAATAGAAAGGAATAAATAAAGATTGTTTAGTTTTGAGGGTGTGAATATTAATTTGATTTTTACTTGTTCACTGTTCATTGCGAAATGGATGATGGCATGACATTAGAGAGAGAACACCAGCTACTACTATATTGCTGCATGAAATCAATTAACTCCTTTCCTTTGTTATAAAAGAGTCAACAAGAAGATAATTGCACCATGATAAAAAGAAAGGTAGAGCTAAAACTTTTTTCTCATCATGGCACCATTATCTTCTTGTTGACTCTTTTATAACAAAGGAAAGAAGTTAATTGATTTCATGCAGCAATATAGTAGTATCTGATGTTCTCTCTCTAATGTCATGCCATCACCCATTTGGCAATGAACAGTGAATAAGTAAAAATCAAATTAATATTCGCACCCTCAAAACTAAACAATCTTTATTTATTCCTTTCTATTCATTAGATATGAAACGATATCAATAGTATAAACTGTAGACAAGTTATACTACACAACCACACACCAATCATGTATAGATACAATATCTATTAAATAAGAGTGGATAATTACATTCAGAAAAATTTTGAAAAAATAATCAAAATTCAAGTTCTACTTTTAGTTGATAGGACTATAGTTTGTAGTACACATGCTGTGTCATGCAAGAAGTTTGTTTTTTCTTCCATGCCTATTTATTTATTTCTCGTAAAAATGAAATTACTCTCGTCTAATCAGATTATATTGGCTCAAAAAACTTGTTCAATATTGTATATTCTTCATAGTTATTAACGTCAATGTATATGTATGCTTAGCAGTCATCAGAAGATCTCGATATCTTTCCGTTTTGGTTGCATTTCTAATTCGAATAGATCATCAAATGGTGAAGAAGTTCGTTGTATAAAACAAAACATGTATATTCGAATCTTATTTCTTGAAAAAAGACTTCTGAATAGGTGCACCATATGATTCGATTTTTGACCATTCTAATATTGCCTTGCATCCACATGCGAGAGTTTTCTACAAAAACCTTTGCATGTTCGCGCATGCGAAAATGTTTACTCCATTTTTGATACTTTAAATCATTATATTTAACAAAAACAACTTCATATTGTTCTCATGAAGTTCTTTCAAAGAGTTTGTCTATCTATCGATTTTGATTTCGATTGCAATGATGATTATGAGTTTGTGTAAAATTAATTCTTTGATATTTAATTAAAAATGAATTAATTAAATAATCTATATATCAAGTAGTTGATTTGATCTTGGTAATTCACTATAAAGTGAAAGATGACCTTTCGTTGGATAACAAGTAAATATTCCAACAGTTAATGTTCCGTCATGTGAGGCTAGTGTTAATAAAATTGATAAACTAAGAAAAAAGATGATGAAAAACAGGAATACGAACTGAGGAATTTATTAAGATAAAATATTTATACTGTGATAAATTTAATTTTTCCTGAAAAAAAACTTTTTGTTTCCAAAGTTTTCCAAATGTATAAAATGATTAAAAAAGCAATTAACTATACCAATATCAAAATATTTATTTTTATGTTGAATAGAATGAGCATTCTTCTCAGATAATTTAGTGATTTCCTTCTGATCAATTAGTTTATTATCGATCGATTGCAATAGAAAATCCTATAGTCAACATCATCATTTTCAATTTCTCATTAGTATAAGAATGTGTTTCATCATAAACATAAATCAATAAGGTTTGATTAACTAAAACACTTCAAACAACGGCTTTGTTTTCGTTTCTTCAATATCGAAAAAGATCAGTTTGGATAGAACATTGGACAAAATCAACAAAAATCTTTCTTCAGATAGTTTGTTTGTTAAACATGTTAATTCTTTTTCACTACTTAACAATTGATTCTTCTATTCGAATTTCTATCAACGAGAAGAGATTTTTTTAGGAAAAAAAAAACAAATCAAAATCTCTCTTCTTAAAGAGAAGATTTGTCAAATATTTATCTTTAATAAAAGTCAAGAAATTGAGAATAAAATTAAACTTCCGAAGTTTCCTGATGAAATTCAATTTTTCATCGGACTTACAGAAAACAATCATTAGTATTATTTTCAAAATGTCATAAATGAGAAAAAATTCTTCGAAGAATTTGTGAGAGTGAGTGTCAAAGTGAATAGAAAACTCATCTCTTCACTCCTGTACCCACACTCTCACCTTAGAACCTATAGTTTTATATACATAGTATAAATTTTTCACAGATTCTAACAATCAATAGATTAGTTAGAAGACTAAAATTCTTAGTCTAAACACATGTTTACTAATCGAAGATAATGTATAAATGGGAGAGAGGGAGAATATATTATTTCACGTGTCTATGTGTATATATATATATATATATATATATATATATGTATTCTTTTTCGTTATTCTCGATCGGTATCATCGTTATTTCTTATTTCAAACATGGAAAGAAGAATAAAACGACCATCAGACGACACTGTTTATAATTACAATAATAACAAAAAATCAAAATTCTTAGTAACAACAACTAAGTTAGTTTATTGAAAATCTATTTTTTAAATTAAATTTTTTATTAATTAATTTAGATCTTATTTTGAAAATTTACCAAATGAAACATTTTATGAAATATTTGAATATCTTGAATATAATGATATTTATCATGGATTTTTTTATCTTAATAAACGATTTCAAAATCTTCTTATTAATTTAAATATTCCATTTCAAATAAATCTTTCAACAATATCAAAATTGCAATTTGATCTTTATAATAAAAATGTTTTTCAACCAAATAAACATCAAATAAAACTTCTTCGTTTATCAAATCCATTTACAATTGATATGATTTTTTCTTCACCACGTCTTATTTGTAATTTAATTCGAATTGAAAAATTAATATTTGATCATATCAATTCAAAATATCTTAATAACATTCTTAAATATTTAATGCATTTACCTAAATTACATTCATTAATTCTTTCTCCTATTGATTATATTCAAAATCCAACTATAATTTTTAATCAAATATTTCGTTTAAAAAAATTAAAATATTGTAAATTAACATATAAAATCAAAGATAATGAAAATATATTACCAATAGATTTTGATCAATATGAACAAAATTCTATTGAATATTTGATAATAAATAGTCCTTTTCGATATGAATCATTTCAAAAATTATTTATTTATCTACCAAAACTTCGTCATTTATCAATTAATTATCTTCTTGGATCAAATAATTCACAAATAAATTTTTATCCAATTGAATTAAAAGATTTAAAATATGTTTCTTTTGATCTTCATTCAATTAATTTTCGTCAATTTAAAAAATTAATAAAAAATTTCTTTCATCATATTGAAGTTTTACGTATTTCAACATTCGATGATTTCTCATATTCACATGCAGAACAATGGGAAGAACTAATTTCATCTTCAATACCAAATTTACATATATTTGATATGAAAAATAGTTATACTACAGCAATGGATGGATTTTTATATCTTTGTTTAAGTGGTCACTTTCGATCAAAGTTCTGGGAAGAAAAACAATGGTTTTTTGATCATCAATATGATTGTCATGAAAGTTCAAATAATGGAACGTTTTATTCAACAAATCCATATCGGTAAAAAGAAAAGATTAATTTTATTTTGTCAAACTCAAGTCATGATCATAGATCAATACATAGATTTTTGTAGATGTCGGAGAGAAGAATGACAGTTGGTTAACATAGCTTCTATAAGAAAAATCAGGTTGAAAAGTTAATGCTAATAGATTACTGTAGCGATTGACACTTCAAAAATATCTTCTGAATAGTGATGTGTAGTCTAAGTCTCGTGTTTCTAATCTTTTTTGATCTAAAGAGAAAATTCTCATTATTTTTTTGTTTGGATTGACTTTAGAAAAGTCTTTTTGTTCATCTAGTTGATAATATAAGATGATAATTTAGCAGATAGAGAAATGGTTTTAATTTATTTTATGTATCAAAATCAAACTAAGAATAAATGAATTTTCAATCTTATGTAAAGATCATCCTCACATTGAGTAAAAATTTTAAATCAACATTTAAATTATTCAAATGTGTTTTATTCATAATGACAAATATTCTAGATGGGTAAATTTAGTCATTTCGGTCTTGGTCGTTCGGATCGACACTCAAACTTAGTATCGCAACTCTTGAGTTGTGATAACATCTGAAATCATTAGTCAATAGATACATTTGTATAGCTACCTAAAATATTGATCTTTCATTTAGATTACTTAGTCATTTTAAGTAGCGTTTTATTTAATAAATATTTCTGTTTAACAAACAAAGATATCTTAGAAACTATTAATAAAAAGAATAAATTTTTTTGAAGAATTAAAAAAAATAATATTGAAAATTATTTCGACTAAAATATTTTTCCAAACTTATGAAAAGTTTCTAAATTTTTCTATTTTCGTTTGAAAAAGACTTTTTTGACAAACTTTTGACATTTATTTAGAAGAAAAGATCATACATTTCATTGGCAATACAATCATTGTATTGATTCAAATGTTAAAAAACATGATTTTAAATCGGTTAAACATATTAATATTTGTGGTAAACGAGCTATTAACAATTATGTCATTTATTTTTCAAATGCTACTGAATTAACTATTAAAAATTATGGTAAAACATATTATGGATCGATGTTAACAGTTCTTAATCAAATTCTTCCTTTAAAACAACTTAAGAAATTAATTATTGATTGTAATGATTTTCCAATTCAACAAGTTTTAAATTTAATAAGTTTGACACCAAATTTGCGTTTATTAAAATGGAATTTTCAATCGATTGATCAAACTAAATTAAAATTAATTGAACAAAGTGAAACTTTTCGATCTCTATCAAATACAAATAAAATTCAAAATTTACAAATTCTTCATTGTTGTTTATTCGATGAAATTCAATTTTTTATTAAATTATTTCCACAATTAGAATCTCTACAAATTGCTGTGTTTAGAAAACAAATCATTCAAATTATACGATGTTTATTATCAAAAATGGATCATTTATTTTTCTTACATATTACAGATATCATTAAAACATATTTACAAAAATTAAATTTTTTAATTAAATCAGAAAATTTACTTAATGATTATTTGATTAAATTTATTGATCATGATTTATATTTATGGTGGTAGACATTTTATAGTTGTTTAGGAGATATTTTATTGTTTTCTTTTTTTATATAATTAGTAATGACTTTTAAATAAACAAGAAAGATTAATTATTAACTTAAGGGGAGTCCCCCCTTGAAAAATTCAATTTTTCAAAGAAATATCGAAGTTGAGTTTTTATCATAGGAAGATGTAGCGAAGCTTTCTCTTTCAGAATATGTATGGACTTAAAGCATCTAAATTCGGCTCCTTAGCAGAAGATCTATTTCTTTCTGAAACCTATCTTGTATAGATCAATTGACTATGAGATCATGCTAAAAATCAGAGTATTAAATACTCTAGTTTCTAAGAGAATTCGAACGCAAATGTGCGATTAATTTTGCTGATAGTACTGTTTCCGGTTATCAATGTACGTCTTTTTTGGCCTACGTGCGATTGTTCTTTCAAGTCCATGTGATGTTTCAGTGTATGCACCAGATGCATTGGTACTTCTTTGCAAACATTCAGAGGATCCTGATCTAATATAGATGTGTAACATTTTTGTTATTGTTGTGTGAATATACGCAATATCATTCTTTTTAGACATCGATAAAGAAGTGTTTGTCTGAATTCAGTCATGCACATCACAACTCATGGCATGAATATCGGAAAAAGTTCACCGAAGATCAACTATGATGTTAACCGATGTATTCGTTTTCCATCGTTATCATGTTTGATAGTGAACTTGAAAATTGACTCACTAATACAAGCTTTATGTTGTTAAATCCATTGAAACTTCCAGAGTTTTGCGCTGATCATTTTGGTAATAAGTCTTTTATATTTAGATCCTATTTTCAAAAAGTTGTGAATCAAATACTATGCATTCATTTTTAATCTTGTTGCAATCAATAAAAATCAAATTTTTATCAAGACCTCCATGATAGTTCCTCATTATTTGCTCGAATCATAGGACCAATTACAGATTCCTCGTGAAAAGCTCCACTAAATCCTTTTAGAATTTAAAATTTCAAAATGCCAATCAGACAGTTGGAATTAACTGAAATGGTAGTATTACCAGTTCGATAGAGCAGAATTTGCTTTGTAACATGTACTAGTTAGTCTTCTCCTCAATTTCGATTTTGAAAGGAACGAACGTTTAAACTATTTTCGATCACTATCTTTTATCAGTTTTGATTAATATATTCGGCAAATCTAATCACATCATAGTATTTGTAGAGATCCATAGGATAACTGCTTGATAGTATGTGATGCACAACGAAAAGAGAATAGATGAGAAATAATCATTCAGAACCAAATACTTAGATCAGCTCAAAAGTAGTGAGAATGACACTTTTATACCATGTGGTAAGCTTTAAGAAACTTTTTCTCTATAGTCTTCAAGCGAAAAAAATGCTCTATTTTTCTATGCTATGCTACTGTTGACAAAAAAAATATGAAGATGTATCGAAACATGTATTATCGATTTTTCTAATATTGATTTCTGAAGTATTTTTATTCGATTTTCTAACTCTCAAAAAATATTCTTTTTTATCAAGAAAAGAGAGAGGGACAAAAGTGAGTTTCTTTCACAGAAATTCTTGGAAAACAGAATTACAAGCTGCGCTAAAGTATATATTATTCATCCAAGATTTCCACAGTTTGTAGATCTTCGATTAGTGATTTGAATTTTTACTTGATAGTTGAAAATTCACTATAAACAACTTCCCAGATAGCTTTGCTCTTTAAAACGTCAATTGAAAAGCTTATTAAAAAAAATCAGATCAGGAAACCTTATAATATACGATTCGATGTATCTTCATCTCCTCTTTCTAACAGTGAAAACCGTAATTCTCTATCTTCTTTTTTAACAAAAGTTATTCAAAAAATACTCACTAGCATTCGTGTAACCATGACACATAGGAATAAAATAGTTTTTATCGAAATTTTATTATTATGATATTAGTTAAAATTTAAGGAAATAGCATAGAAAAACAGAGCATTTTTTTCTCTTGAAGATTATATAGAGAAAAAGTTTCTCAAAGCATACTACATGGTATAAAAGTGTCATTCTCAGTACTTTTTGATTGACCTAAGTATTTTGGAAATAATAAATAGTTTGACTTTTAAAATTAAAGATAAAATATCTTGTTGTTACACTAAACAATAATTTCAAATGTGAAAGTTGAACATTGTTATACAACTGTTCTATAGTCTTATTTATTCTCTTTATTATAAGAAGCAGAGTTTCGTGTAATTGAGCACACAAACAGTAAGTTCTAAGTTCGAAATTTGTAGTTCTGTTCCAGTGTTATTTTCGTTCTTGTTCAGAATCACCGTAGAAGTATTTTTAATGCTGGTGATTCGTTAAAATATTTATTTGATAAGCAAAAAAGATGCAATAAATATTACAAGATAAAAACTAGATTTGATATTATTAGCTTCATTTGTTTTCCGATTGTTACAATAGTTCGTATAACAGCACGTTGCACTTATATAGGCGGTGGGCACCGTTAGCATATGTTGACACGTCATATTTCCAACTACAGTCCATACCCATTTTTGCGCTTGTGCTTGTTGTTCTTGTGCTGTACAACGTAGATCACCATTAGAACAGATAAATTTGTAGCTTGTGCACACGCACGTATTATTACTACACGTGTTTGACATCGTGTCCACTGTCGTCGCAGGAACAGAAGAATTCGACATTCCAGAATAGCAAATAATAGCTGAAATGCCAGAAACAATATAGACCAGCAAGATGAAGAAAACGAACAGTTTCATATCTACGAGAGTGTATATTCAAATGAGAGAATATGTGTTCTGCGTCTCTGATTATTATTCGAAATTAAATATGCACATAGAAAAAAACAATGAGTAAAGTCAGTATGTGCCCTTTGGAATTGCTTATACGTCGGTTTTTTTCTTCTCGTCTCTGTTCGTAAATAGAAATATAATCGGTAAAAACCAATATACAATATTCTATGTCATCATGACCAAGAAATATATTTGAAATATTATAATTATTTGTTAAGAAATTTAAACAGTTTGTCTCAAATAAATAGTATAGACACAAACAAATAATTTCATCTATCTTTTTCTGTTCGTTTTGAGTGTATCGAACAGAATATATCAGATATAAATATCGAAAAAAAAAGAACATAATGATTACAATCATAGTAAAATAGAATGACAAATAGTGAATTTTGAATTTATTGTATTTATTCTCAACGTTTTGATCTTCTTAGAGATTATTTTCGCTAGATAGAACTTTAATTTTAATAAATTCAGTTAATTTACTATTTGCCAGTACATTACTATGATTGTGATAATTTTCTTTCTTTTATCGATAAATATGTTTTAATTTTAAATATAATGATATTAGAGCATGAGTACATAAGAAAACATTATTAAGGAAAAAAAAACTTCTATCTCTTAAAAATGATTTCTAAGTTGATCCAAACGTTAAGAATAAATACAACAAATTCAAAATTCATTATCTGCGATGAAATTTTACTATCATTAGAAAAATGTCAGATCAATAATATTTTCCAAAGACGAACAATTTTTCTTCTTATTATAATTAGATGCAACGAATTGTTATTTGTGATTTCTCGTAATTGTGATCACGAAAACCTTCTAGAGCTATCGTCATCATGAACATGACTGAAAAAAGGTGTTGATCTGATTATCATAATCAAAAACTATTAATCACATAAGATGCTATCAATATACCGACAACAACTCTGATGCAAATAAGGTATTGACATATGGAATGAAAAATTTATAAGAGCATTCTTGTGTGCTATTGCGTTGTAATTTCGATTGCTTCTATTCAATATGGTGCACAATCTTTCTGCCTTTTATGAATGCTATTGCGTATAAATGATTGATTATTCTTAGCTGTTGATTCATATGTATACATTACGAATTTGTTGAAAGACAACTATTTATAAGAAAAAGAATGCACATCAATCGTATAATGTGTTCCCAGGTCAAACAAGTATGGTCGTAAACGACAGTATATGGAGTTCATATACGATCTCCGTTTCGCTCCGTATTCATCGACCTGGGTTATTTTTATATCATTTTAGACTAACTTTTCGATGTTTGGCGATCTGTTCTAATCTTCAGCTCTATATTACCTATCAGTAGATATTCATTTCACCTTACATATATGAGAACATATATTCTCTTTCTTGTAGAGAATAGTTCAGCAAAAATAAATTATCTGCTTAATTGCTTGCTAGTGGATTCACTCTTCACTGATTGATGCGAAAGCAACGCGAGAGAAAAATAGCGAACGAAGGCGCAAGGAAAAAAAGGACTAATTTTCTTAAAAATTTGACGGAAGGTAATTGAGGGTAAGGGATCTGAGATCAGTTTTTATTTTTTTTTACTAATACTATTAGTAAATTTTTTTTTTAGTGTGAAGAAAGAGAAATTTCATCCTAAACTCTCAGCCACACATGCACACTCCAAGTCCACAGCCACAGTCAGATCCTTTTTTGATAATTTCTCGTATTCAAAACAGGGATATAGTTGGGTAAAAAGTAGCAAAAAGGAAAAAAACGTCGGATCGGGTCGGTCTAAGAAAAATCGTCACCCGTTCGACTCGAGAAAAAAAGATTCGTTTGGGCCAGATGGCCCGTTTCGAGGCCTGGTGTATATCTAGAATGATTTAGTTTTTCAGGCCTTCGCTTATGAGATATCGAAATTTTACTAGGTTTCTCAATGAAAAGCTGTGACGACTATTTGATCATGGGAAATGTCGACTTTCGAGTTTTGACTTCGATCTTTGTAAAACAACATGAGAGAATTTCGAATATTTCATACCTAGCAATTGGGAATGCTAGAAAAGTTACGACTTGCGCAATCAACTTATTACATTGGAAACTTTGTTTTTATAAAGTTTGAAGTCAAAACTCAAAAATCGAATCTTCATATGATGTAAAAAGCAACAGATTTTTATTGAAAAGCATAGAAAAATTTCAATGTCTCAAGAATGAAGGCTCATAATACCGAAACATTCTAGACTTTTCTATTGC